CCTTCTTGTCGCGGCCCTGCTCGGCCCGCGCCCGCGTCCACGAGGGCGAGCGCAGGCAGCCGGGCCGCGCGCCCGGCGCCACCAGCCCTGCGGGACACCGGCCTCAGCGGGACACCGGGGCGGGACGGGGCACACAGTGCCGGGACACGGGGACACGGGGACACCGGGACATGATACACGCATCAGCGGGGACACGAGGACACGGTGCTGGGACGTTGTGCGGGGACACAGGGACAGGACACCAGGATGCAGTGCTGGGACACAGGAAAATGACACGGGGACATGGTGCGGGGACAGGGCATAGGGATACAGGGACACGGTGCTGGGATGCAGGGACATTGTGCTGGGACACGGGGACATGATACGGGCATCAGCTGGGGCACGGTGCGGGGATGCAGGAACAGGACACAGGGACACAGGGACATTGTGCTGGGACACGGGGACGGGACACTGGGATATGACATGGGGACACAGTGCTGGAATATGACACTAGGACACAGGGACATGGTACTGGAGCACAGTGCTGGGACACGGGGACACAATGTCGGGACATGGCACTGGGACACAGGGATGCCATGCTGTAGTGTGGTGCTGGGACACAGGGACATGGTGCTGGAACACAGTGGTGGGACACACAGACTGACACTGGGACACAGGGCACAATGCTGGGATGTGGCACTCAACTCAGGGACATGGCACTGGGACACAGGGACACAGTGTTGAGGTATTGCACTGGGACGTAGGGACATGGTGCTGGAACACGATGCTGGGATACAGGAACACAACACTGGGACACGGGGACACAGCACTGAGACAGGATGCTGAGGCACAGGGCCATGGCACCGGGACATGGGGACACCGTGCTGGGACACAGGCACATGGCACTGGAGCATGCTGCTGGGATACTGTGCTGGATATGGAGCTGGGACATGAGGACGCAGTGCTGGAACACGGTGCTAAGACATGGTGACACAGTGCTGGGACACAACACGGGGACACAGCGCTGGGACACAGGGACACGGCGCTGGGACACAGGGACATGGTGCTGGGACGTAGCCCTGGGACATTGGGACACAGTGCTGGGACACAGGGACACGGCGCCGGGGCCGTGGCGGCCGCTCACCGCCGGGCGCGTCGCCGGGCGCGCTCTCCTCGTCGGAGTCGGCAAAGACCTCGGCCAGCTCCTGGTCCGACATGTCGGTGAGCTCGGTGAGGTCGAGCAGGTCGAAGTGAACCTCCAGCGAGGACACGCTGCTCAGCGGCTCTGCGGGCGGCGCCGCACCGTGGGGACACACGGCACCCACAGGGACACACGGCACCCACGGGGACAGAGCATGCCCCGAGGGACAGCGCTGTCCCCACAGGCCCGGGGACACACAGGGCAGTGCAGGGAGCTCGTGTGATCCCCATGGCACTGGGTGCAGGTGAGGGACCGCAGGCACAGGGGGACAGGCAGAAGATGCCTGGAGGGATGGCAGTGTCCCCATGGCCCTGGGGACAGGCAGGGGGCCCTTAGGGATACTCGCAGTGTCCCCACAGCCCCAGGGACAGGCAGGGGGCCGTAGGGAGCTCCTGTGGTCCCTAGGGTGCTGGGTGCAGGCGGGGAGCACAGGAAAGGGGCAAGAGTTCCCGTAGGGATGGCAGCGGCCCCATGGCCTTGGGGACAGGCAGGGGACTCCTAGGGATGCTCCCAGGGTCCCCAGGTTTCTGGGTTCAGGCAGGGGACCCAGGGGCAGGTGAGGGACCCCAGGGAGCTTGCAGGGTCCTTGGGGCAGGCAGGGACCTCCCTAGGGATTGTTGGGGACCCTGGGGGACGCGGGGGGTGCCGGGGGCCGCACTCACGTCTCCGCTCGGCCACATGCAGCAGCCCGGCGCTGGGGATGGGGATGCCGCCCTGCTCCTCGGCGGGGGTGCTGGCTGCCTCCTCGCACGGGCCGCGGGCCGGGGCCGCCCGCTCCGGCCCCCGCACCTCCTTGCCCAGCTCTGCCAGACAGGCCCGGCCGCCTCAGCTGCGGCGCCGCGAGCCCCGCGGCAGCCGCCGGCCCCCCTCCCGCAGCCCCTTTGTGTCGGCGAGACAAAAGCGGAGCCTGTTCAAGGCCGGSCCAAACAAGGGGCGTTTTGTCTCCCAGGAAGAGGCAGCGAGGGCCAAGGGGATGCGGCAGCACTCGGACCRGGACCCTCACAGCGGGCATGGCCCCGGCTGAGCCCCAGTTGCCTCCCGGCACTGGCTCCAGCACATCCCAGTGCTGACAGATGCAATGGGACACCCTACCCTTGCACAGGGAAAGCATGTCCCCAGCCCTGCTCTGCTCCGGGGGGACCTGCGCYGTTCCGGTGCGTCCCCGTGCCGGTGGCTCCGCCAGACTCAGCCTCTGGCACTGGTGGGCAGAGCCTCCCACCTGTGTCCAGCCCTGCACCCCCGGGAGCAGCACGGCCGCGAGCCCGCACGCACCGGGGAGCTGCTCGGGCCCGGAGAAGTCGCCCCTCGCCTCGGCCTGCATGTCGGCGCGGTGCCGCGG